AATATTTTTTAATTTTTAATTTTATAGGTGAGGTTAACTCATAATGAAATCATTTTAATATCTCAATAATAAAGTTTAAGCTGGGCTCGGTGGTGCACACCTGTAATCCCAGCACTTGGGAGGCTGAAGCAGGAGGATTGCGGCAAGTTCAAGATCAACCTGGACTACATAGGGAATTAAAGCCTGAATTACATAGTGAGACCCAGACTCAAAAAACAAAAATGAGGGAGGACTGGGCACTTAACTCAGTGGCACAGTGTCTGCCTGGCAAGCATGAGGTCCTGAGTTCAATCCCTGGTATAAAACAAAAACAAAAACAAGGAGTCAGGGATGTGGCTCAGCAGCATAGCACATGCCTGACAAGCTCAAGGTTCTGAGTTCAATCCCTGGTACCAAAAAACCCCAAAATAAAAAACAAGCAAACAAAGGCAAACCTCAATGGGTAGTAATAAAGCTTAATGAAAAAGCATGCTCTCTTGGTCGGGGATTTAGCCAGTGGCATGGTGCCTGCCTTGCAAGTGCAAGGTCCTGAGTTCAATCCCTGGTACCAAGAAAAAAAAGCACAATCTCTGAAAATGAAATTCTTTACCAAAATATGGTAAACCCTGGAGTTCCTGTGATGTTCATCTTATACAGCTAAGAACTCAGGAGAAACAGATGGAAGGAGAAACTGACAATGGCAGCTGACCTGGAGTTCAACCAACCACTCTGAGGTTATGCTGGTAGAGCTCAAGTTATTGACTGGAACTCCTTATGATAATGACCATCCGTTTTGCTTCTCAGAAAGAAAATTCTTTTCCTGGGTAGGCTTTTGTAAGACAATAATCTTACCATTTCATTCAAAGTATTTTCTACTTTGCAGAAACACCATAGCAGTGGTGTATGGTGTGTTTCATCCTGTATTGCACTTTGTACAGGATTATAAAATGGGCCAACAGAAAAGAAGGTCAAAGCTTCAGAAAAGACAGAAGAAAGCATTCCTTTGCCCTATGAATTAAAAATCTGGAAAATTCATTAATTTTATCTCAAATTTAAGTAATTTGTTAGCACATAAAAGTTATAAATCTGGTATCTGTTGTATTTGTAACAAAACTCACTGTTTTCTAGCTGTTAACATCAAACCTTATACTTTTTATTTATTGGCTCATTGCAGTCTACCCAAATATAGAACAAAAGGGATTGCTTTATTTTTCTAAAACTTTTAAGTTTAATGATATTATAATAACAAAATGAAATTTAAATCAGACTGAGTTCTTTATATTTTTAGAGCTGCTATTGTTTTACGGGATAGAGAAGGAAAAAGGGGAGCAATATATGTATGGAGTAAGAATGATTTAGTATTTTTAATCATTTTTTACCCATTAGAGAACAAAAAAAAGTTTACCATCTTATGTTGAAAATGCTTGAGGCCTAATATCTCTCCAAATATTTCTTTAAAGAAAAAAATATGTGCAATCTTTAAAAATAGACTGATTTCATGTTCATATGTTATATGGTATATCATTTTTTCTTTACTGTGTTGGGGATTGAACCCAGAGTCTTTTCACTGAGGTATTTGCCCACCCCCACCCCCTTTAAAAATATTGAGAGAGGGTCTAGCTAAGTTGTTCAAGCTAGTGTGGAACTTATGATCCTCCTATCTCAGCCAACTGAGTGCTAGGATTGCTGGTGTGCAGCACCACACCTGGCTCATGTTTATACGTTATATATCTTGAATATAGCAATAAATAGGGCCATTATTTTTTCTTTATTTGGTACCGGGGATTAAACTCAGGACCTTGTGCTTGTGAGGCAGGTGGTGGAACCACTGTGCTAAGTCCCCATCCCCTAGGCCATATTTTTATCACTGGAGAGTTTAATTCAATATTTTATTTTATTTTTTGAGTTAATATCTTGCTGTTTTGCCCAGGTTTGCCTTGAACGGACAATCCTTTTGCCTTAGCCTCCTTAGTAGCTGAGATTACAGATGTGCCCCACTATGCCTGGCTCTATTGCAATATTTTATTAAATTAGGCATTGCTATATAAATTATGGTTTTGGGTGCATTCCATGTATGCATGAGAGAGAGAGAGAGAGAGGACATTGAGACTGTCTTCCATGTACTTGTTTTACATTCCATAGCCCAAATAGACAGTTCTCTCACATCTCCCACATCTCCTTCTTTCACCAATAAGTGTTGCCCTTTCCTTTCCTTTTGTTAAACTGCTGAAACCTCAAAAACTTTTAGGGAGTTGAAATTTGGAAGGATTGTATAGGGAGGCAGAGAAATGTGCTGGGATCTTCCATTCAGAATTTCAGAGGTATTGTCTTATGGAAATATTAGATATAGTGGCTGAGTACTGTATCACTATCATCTGAGGGTACAAATGATTGTAGTCTGGATGTTGTTTTATGGTAAAATGTATCCCAAATTCCACATAATCCTTCTAAGTTTTATGAAAACTACTTCTATATTATTCATCAGAAAATGCTCCAACTAATATTATTTATTCAGTATAGATACATTATTTGTTAAATTGCTATGATTTTGGATTTGTTACTGAAAAATATTTTATTTTATTTTTATTTTTTGGTGCCAGGCATTGAACTTGGGCCCTTATGCTTGCGAGGCAGGCAGCGAATCCATGGAGCCAAATCCTTGGCCCCTGAAAAATATTTTAGCATGGTTGTAAACTTATAAAGTGAAAATTGTCAGGCCAGGCATGGTGGGTCATGCCGGTAATCCTAGCACTTGGGAGGCTGAGGCAAGAGGTTCGCCATGGATTCTAGGCCAGATTGAGATACCTAGGCACAACCTGTCTCAAAAAAAAAGAAGGAAGGAAGGAAGGAAGGAAGAAAGGAAGGAGGGGGGAGGGAGGGAGGGACGGAGAGTGAGAGAAGAGAAGAGAAGAGAAGAGAAGAAAAGAAAGGGGATTTAGCTCAGTAGCACCATGCTTGCCTAGCAAGCATAAGATCCTGAGTTCGATCCCTGGTACTGGGGAAAAAAAATTGTCCCCAGGAGTTTAAGATGAGGAATAGGAAGGAGCTGCTTTATAAAAAGAATAAGGAAGGGGCTGGGGATTTAGCTCAGTAGTTTTGCTTCACAAGCACAAGGTCCCAAATTCAATCCTTGGTACCAAAAAAACCAACAAACAAACAAAAATAAAGAATAAAGAGGGAGGCTGGGACAGTAGCTCTGGTAGAGCACTTAATTTACAATGGGAAAAGCCTTGCATTCTGGCCCCAGTACTGAAGGAAGAAAAAAAAGAAAACAAACAAACAAAAAAAAAACAAGTGCTGTGGGTGCTCTGGTTGTACATACTACATATAAAAAAAAGAATCTTATGGGGTGTTTGTTTGTTTGTTTGTTTGCTTGAGACAGGGTCTTGCTATGAATAGTTCATTTCAGGCTGGGCTTGAACTCACTGTGGAGCCCAGGCTGGCCTCAAACTCAAGGCAATCCTCTTGCCTCAGCTTCTCAAGTGCTGGCATTATAAAGGTATACTACCACCCCCAGCTCTTCTGTTTTTTAAAAAATTTTGTCAGTCTTCTTTAATAGGTATAATTGAAATGACTATAAATTTTCTGAGATTATGAGAATAAGAAATCTCATGATCTCACAATGACTTCTAATACATAGAATACTTCTGTGATATAAAGTAGTCAAAATTGCTTTGAGCATTCTGAACTCTCTTTTTTTGGTAGCACTGGGAATTTAACCCAGGACCTTTATGCTGAACTACATCCTCAGTCCTTTTTTAGTTTTCTTTAGAGACAAGGTCTCACTAAATCTCCCAGTCTGGGCTTGAATTTGGGATTCTCCTACCTCTGCCTTCTGCATGTTGGGATTATAGGTGTGCGCCACCATGCCTGGCTCATTATGATAAATTAATATAAATAAAAAGTTTTATTGTTAAATGTAAAAGACCTCCTGTGGGGGAAAGTGCCATAAAAATACTGTATAAATACTTAAGCTCTCCAATTATGAGTGAAGGAAACAAAAAGTGCAAAAATTGAACCAATACTTAATGAGTATCTATTTATGAACAGCATTATAAGTGACTTTGCTACAGTTAAAAAGAATATTGCTCTCAGAGTCAAGATAATAATCACTCCCAAATTCGTCTAAGTCATGATAAAAAGACTAATTTTGGCATAGTGGTCATATTCCAGTTCTTTCAAAGTGAACTATGCAACAAGGTTTGAATCAAATTTTAATAAAAAACAGCACACAACTTCATTAAAAAATTAGTTGTGTTAAAAATAAAGTTGGACCTGATCTTCAAATAGTATAACCAGT